GCAGTGAGAGCTACTTTCAAAGAGACAACCAAGCAACCTAAAAACCCCTAAGATGCAGAAGTTGTCCCTGACTGACGTACCGTATTTGACCCTCTGTGCAAAGGAGGAGAACACCTGTGTCCCTCTGCCATCCTTGTGTGTGCTGAGCCTGGCTCTGTGAGAGTGCAGGTTTACTTGTGTTCCATTTTGTGTCTCCTGTCTCTGGTTTTGTGAGCACAGTGTGAACCATAATGGGAATAAGATGCCCTTGAAAAATCTACCCAGGATTTGTGTTGTGATTGACAAAGGTGTTACATTTGGAAGATGCAGTTATATGTAACATAAAGTGAAAGACAGAAGGGAAATAATTTTCCTTGTTTGGAAAAGCTAAGCAAGTGTTTGTTGCAGTTCTGCTGGTAGGGAAGATGACACTGGAAAATACTTAAGTTCTCTAACTATTAATTTCCAGTGAAAACTAGACCATACATGAACATACTGCTCCTCATTACCTGAGAGGGACTGTGGTCATCGTATTTTGTGACCAGTTATATTACTGGAAGTAAAAATGTTAGCTTTCCCCCACTTTTTTTTCATTATGCTTTTAAACCTATTACAGAACTTTGGAGTTCAGCATATTAAAGCTCACATGCGGTTAGCAAAGTGGCACATTTTCTTTATAGATCCCAAATCTTAAATTACCGTGTATCATCAAATCATGTAGTAGCTTTCCACAAATCACTGATCACATAATTACAATATGAATTTCTGAGGTAGCAGTAAAGTGTTAAAGAGTTAAATATTCCAGGCTTTGTTTGTTCCTCAGAGAAAATGAGATATGCCATATAGCTGATCTTTTTTTCAGCACTTTCGTAAAGGCTGAAAGATATTTTCTTTGGTGCTACTGACTTTTGGTAAAGTGAGGTGAGAAAGTTCCATTTTCTGTCATGAGCCAACCAAAACCCAGCATGTTTCCAGGGTCCAGTTTTAAATTTCTGTTCACATTGCGAATTGATGTGAAACTGCAACTATTGAGATTTTCTGGCACATACAAAACATTTGTTCAGCTAGAAAACGAGTAGGGGAAAAGAGCCAGCGGTGACAGTTGGATAGGAGCACATTGGAGTGCTGAGAGGTGGAACACCTGGCATCAGGGAATGGGGGAGGTATAGTCCATTGCTCTGTATCTGGATGCAGAGCATCTGTGAGAGTGGGCCTTGCAGCTTTGTTGAGGACTACCACTTTCAGGATCTGGATTCTTTAACACTGGTGCTCTGTGAGGTGTGATGCTTTGATGTTAGATGAAAAAAAAATAAATTACAGACTCTTTGCCATTAATTAGTTTGATATTTTTGTAAAAGATGATCTTGTCAACAAAGTCTGTAAAATTATAACCACTCTTTAAATGGACTTCAGTTATTTCTGGTTTCTATAGCCCATGCCTGTAGCAGTAGCCCCAGGCTGCTCCTGAGTGTTGTTCATTAGCAGTGGGAAGGACTTTTCTCTTGCCGTGGAACCTGCACAGGACATCACATGGAGGGGTTCTCAGGGTTTCTACGTTTAGTCAGATCTGTTGATGAGATGTGAAGAGCTTCACATTGCTTGCTTTCATTATAGCTTATTATATGCTGTGAATGTTGTTGTTTGGTATAATGAGAGTGTGGTTTGTTTTTTCTTTTCTTTTTTTTTGGAGTCCAGAGTCAGTACTGACTGGATTGTTCTGTGCAGAAATGTGAAGGCAGAATGAGCTGGAATAGTTGATGTGTCACCAGTGGTGTGTTTCTGGTCTGCAGATAGCTTCACAGATCACATTTGTCCCTCTGCCTTGATAAAAAATTCTGTAAATCACGAAGTTGAAGACTTAACCCATTATAATTTTTTATCTTGTTGTTACTACTTTATTGTTCAATCATCTGGAAAAAAACCTATTTAGTTCCTTCTAAACCCTACACCAACTCTACCATGAGGTAATACCTCTGAAGTGTAGGTTTACTGTGGGGATTAACTGCAGTGTTACTGTTCCTGAATGCATATTTAATGTAAAAGCAGGAGAGGTGATGTTGGGAAGAACCTCAAAGAATCACATTAGTTCAGAGTCCCAATTAATAAAAATGTACTTTTGTTTGCCCTGGTTTGTTTTAGCTGTCTATTTTCTTTAAATAACCATTAATTATATTTTGCAGCAGGAGTGATAAGATCCTGCTGACTTGAGTGAAGCTTGACATGGTTCACTAACAGTGTAGTGTATTTATGTTAGTAAATGGTGTAATTTTGAAATTTATCACATGCTCACAAATATCATTCTTCCTTCTCACCCACTTCTCTGGAATTATTAGACAGACAGTTGAAGTAGTGGCTTCAATTACTCTGCTGGTAATTGGATTAACAATTCAGTATGCAGTAATGAGTTTTCTCTTAGCTGAAGATTGGGAATTCAAATAATGCTTATATCTCATTGCTATAATACTGTGCTTTTGAATACTCCTGATATTTAATCCTTTCTTTAAAAAAAGGTGTTGCCATGTAACAGTCCTTATTCTTAGTATTCAGAAAATGTTTTTTTTAGTTCATCTTCTTATACTTTATTCAGAGTTGTGCTTAAAACTTTAAAGGTACTTTAAAGGATACCTTACTGAATTAGGATAGAAACCTGTATTTTTTCCAATTAAAAATTAACTTTTGAAATTAATTTCTTAATTTTTGATCTTGTTTTTAAGTTCTTCTTAAGAAAAATGGATGTTTAGGCTCCCTTCCAACCCAGTGGTTAAATGTGTATTTAACTTTTAAACATCTGAGTAGGTTCACTGACTTCTGTAAGTACACACACCATGAGGCTTTTGACGAATTCACTCACTACAACTTCTTTGAGAGCTGCTGCAGCGGGGCTGGTGCTGGGCAGAGGGAGCTGGGAAGCTCACAGCATCCATGCTGATGGGCCTTGGACACAGCCGTGTCAGTGGGAGCACCACCAGCTGAATTAAATTTGCAGAACTGCTGTCCTTGCAGAACCTCGAGTGTTGTAATTTAGAAAAATCATAATGGGCAAAGATTGCTCTGAAGTGGTGAGAAAGCAATTTTCCAACTATATCCACATTACTGATGTGATCCCTTGGCCACTTCTGGTTCTGCTCTTGAGAAAGTTTTGATTTTTTTAATGGTCCTCAGCCTGGTATTGATGTAACACACACTGACCGTGTTGCCTGTCCACTGACATAAATGCTGTTATCTAAGTAAACATGGTCCAAATGCTTTCTGTTACAGCAGGATTGTAAGTCTGAACAAACTTACATATATTCAAAACACTGCAGAAAGGGGGGTTGTCGTTTTCTTTTTTCCTTTGGGGAGTGAGTATGAAATACAGAGGTATCTTTAAGCTCCTTCTTATTCTCACCTGACTTTTGATTTTTTAAATTAATTTCTTCTAAAAACTGGCAGAATGACAGAAGTCTTATAGTTACTGAATTCCTACTGCCTTTGGAGCAGTCCAGGGCTGGATGTAAGTGACCTTATCAGTTCTGAGAAAAGCAGAGTGTAGTTAGGCAAAAAGGCTTCAGGACATTTGTCTAATTATAGATTGCTTTTTCTAATACATTTCAAGAATAATACTTTTCCAGATGTATCAGTTTACAAAGTGAATCCTATTGATATCCTGCTAGATAGAAAATGCTATTTTAGTAGTTATATTTGATCTATAATTAAATTATGTTTTGTTTTCAGAAGTAGTATACGATAGGACATAATGAAATTAATCTGTACATATATAATATGCATTTAAAACTAGTTATATAAAATTGGTGGTAGATGTTTTAATGTAGAAATATTTTGATAACTTCTTTCTTATAAAAAGTGTAATTTTTTGTCATTTGGTGTTGATTAATAGACTGTTGTAGGAGATAGTGTAAGAGTATGTTATTACAGTAAAATGCTTTTGAAAAAAGTTGACATGAATCCTGCATTTGTCAGTTTTGTAACCTTCGTATTCCTTCCTCATTAGAACTATGCAGCACTGATACAGCAACAAATCAATGAGGACAAACAAAACTTGAGAGAAAAGACTGTATATGGATTCCAGCTCACAGAAGAAAAACTTAATGACTTCCGTGATGAACAGATTGGGCAGCTGAAGGAACTGATGGACGAGGCTACCAAACCTAATAAAAAAATCACCATTTCTGAAGACTCAAAATACAAAAACTAAAAGATTTTGAATATTGTTTTATTACATAAGGAAGCATTTTGAAACTTCCTTTTCCCCTTGGAGTTGAATGTGGTTTCTGTGAAGTAATGGGCACTGCTGATGCCATAACTTCTCTGGTTATTTGGCTTTTTGTGCAAGAATAAATATAAAATGGAGTAATCACAACGCTGCTATTTTAATTGCAGTATTTTTTCTCCTTTATTTTTTTCTCCTAATGGAAGGTGAAGACTGAAAGATTTCGGTAAAAGTAAAGTGACATTTTTAAAATATAAAGTTGTTAGTTTTGTTTTGTTTTGTTTTTTTAATTTTGGCACCTGTAGGACAAAACATCTTCCTCTTTCTGTACCATCCTCTTCCTTAATGGAAAAGATACAGTATCATTTATTTTCTGGCTTGGATTCAGTAGACAAAGGTATGGTACTAGAGCCAGTTTGTTTTGATGGAAAGAAATGAGCAGTATTAGGAAAACATACTGCTGGGGAAATTGGTTTTCTTCTTGAGCTTTATTGTGAAATGTGCTTAAAAGTCAAAGATGTAGCTCACTATTAAATTAATCTTGAAGGAATCACTGTCTTAGGAAGAAAATTCTGCATTTTTTTCAAAGGTAGACTCAGATCATTGTTAATACCTAAAATTTTTAAAAACCTTTTATGAGTGGGTTGTGCTGTAGTTAGAGTTTAAAAGTTTTCTAGAAGCTCGGTATCCCATATTATCCAGTATTTGTTATAGACCAGAATTTGTAAATGCCTTCAGTTTCAATCACAGAAATTATCCTGTTGATAATACTGCATGACAAACATTAGTATTTTATTTCTAATAGGTTAAGTCTTCAGTAGGACAATGCTTATCTATTGTAAGATATACTATTGGGACTAAAGAAAGATTTTTATCTGTTAAGAAAAAACACATCCTTTTCTCTGCAAAAGACAGCTTTCATTTCTTCTTCCAAATCTAGTTTTATATTATTAGTTTTGTTCTATTTCTGGACCTTTCCCTGTCTGTTACCCACAGCGTTTTCAGGACAACATAATTTCTTTGCTCTTGAGGGATAACAGCTTTGACAAGTAACCACATTTCCATCTGTCTCGGTTTGTAACAACATGCTGTTCGCCAAAGCTGTGCCCCTGGATCCTAAGGGGGTGGAGGAGCAATCTAGGGAGCAGCCTTTTTCTTTCTCCCTTATCTCTCTTCCCAATTCTTTTATGAGATTGTAGGTTGCAGGTTGCTCATTTCTATTAAAAGTTCAATTGCAAGACTCCTGTGTGAGAAACACTTACGCTTGCTTTCCTGCATCTTCCTCTGGTACCCCAGCCTTTGTTGCTTGAGCTGCAGGAACATCCCTTAGCCTCAAGCACCTAATCCAAATAGGATTGAAGGACAGAGATGACACCCAGACTGCGAGGCTGAGGTTCATGAGTCCTGATTCTTGGTGCTTCAGGGGCACGGTTGGAGAGAATGGCAGCTCCTTTCTGGTCTGCTCTGTACCTAGGTCCTGCCACAGCATCCAAGTGGGAAGCAGATAGGACATGCATCCAGGAAGCTTGAAGCAGTATCAGTCTCTGATACTGCCATTTACACATTGCTTACACTTTTTTCTTTTCAAAGTTCAAAGTCTGTACAAATCTAATCCAACTCTGGAGTTGAGGACATAAGGATGTATTCTGTTACACTTCCATCAGATGTACAGTAATCAGTAATTGCATCACTAAATCTGTTCATCATGGCTAGGCTTCGCGAACGAAGATTTAGGAAGGCAAGATGATGCAACATGAGTAGACATGCAAAACAAGCACTCTAGTTTCATTGAACTAACAAGTTTCATCATATGTGTTGATAAAAGTAACTGTGCTTTAAATTGCAGCATTTGAAGTAAATTTGGAGCAACTTGGTTATTGACTGGAAAGCGGGAACGTGTACTAGCAGTCAAGGAGGGAAACAAACTCTGTTGTCAACACCCAAACATCATTTTTGGTATGAAAACTGAATAGATTTAGTGATGCAGTTACTGATTTCTGTAATGCACATTTTTAGAGCCTAAATTAATAACAGAAAATTGCTATTTGGTATGAAAAACTTAAGCATATAATGAGACTTAGAGTTGGAGGTGAGGGTAGACATCTTAACATCCGCAGTCCCTTTTCTAGTAAATCCAACAGCTTTTTTCTTTCATTCCCCATGGTGGCTTGTATTTTGTACAATTTTTGTGCCTTGTTTAAAACAACTCTTATAAAAGCCAAAATTTCATAATAGGAATGAAGCATCTTTAAAGATTGTTGGTTTTAAGACAGCCAGTGCTAGTAGTAAGGCATGCTCTGATCTGAGTAGGGCTTATGCAAGTGGTGGGCACAAATGGCCCCAAAGAAGCTTTGTGATGCCAACACTGCTGTGCTTAGTGAAATTCTTTAATTTACAAGAGTGGTTAATGACAAGTTAAAGAAGGTGAAGAAGACAATGGGCTTCTCATCTTGGCCACAGAAAGATAAAATGACACAGATTCTGTTTCTTTACTTTTGAGTTATAGGATACTTTCTGTGGAGAATTTTACCTTGGGATTGAAGGACAATGAGCAAAGGAAAGCATCCATCAAAAATACTTCAAAACTACAAGCAGCATGCTATTTCAAATAGCAAAAGAGTTGTTTAGAAAAAAAAAGATGCTACTCACCTTAAAATGAAAAATGGCTCTGATCACTTCAGAAATGAGTATAGAGTTTTTGTGTTCTCTGGGTGTTGGATGGATTGCTGTTATACAGCTCACCACTGAAAAGCTCCTACCACCCTAAAAAGCCTTCTCTCCATTCAGTTTATCCATTAAGAAAGATTCTTTATATTTTGTTGATCTTAAATCCATTTGGCTCTTACAGAACTAAAAGAGAGTGATAAAATTCACTGCTTGATTTGGCTGAACCTTATCTGTGGTAACATTTTATATAATCGCCTGGCAGCTGTTAGGAGTTGGATGGAGGAGAAGTTTTAGGTAGCTGGAAAAGACACGAGCTGAAGTCTTAGCAACATGTAAAGAATTTTCAGAAATCTGTCTTATTAAAAAATTACCTGATATGCAAATACAAAGTTATACATCTTAAAAAAAATAACTAAAAATGTCATTCTTCCAGTGTTTTATTACGCTTTTTTTAACTGTCCATCCAGCAAGAGCTATTGGGACATACTTCTTCCGTAAAAATAAATTAATAATGTAACATATTGAAAGTAGGATTTATGAAGAAATTTCTCAGCTATTTGAACTTTAATCTTTTTGATTTATTAGCGAACATTCTATTTCTTCTTCTCGGATACGTATTTATGAGATGCTGGCTATTCACTGAGTCAGTGGCCAAATTTTAACTGGCTTTTAGGTAAAAATATTGAACAATTAATGAAGGAAACCTGCCTTTCCCTGCATGTTATAATTTATTTTAATTTTTACTTTTTATAACTGAACTAAGAGGGAAGGTTGAATTTCTCAGCAGACTGATTGACTCCAAGTGCAACCGCGGAGGATCGACGTACCTTTGATGTAGGGTGAAAGCTGAATCACTTTAAAAACCAGCTCACATTCTAGGGCAGAAGATGTCTCTAATGCTGTCCAGCTTAACTGTTGATTTTCACACCTCTTGGAAAGGGTTTCAAGGTAAATGCTTCCTGCTGGAGGGTATAGATGCACCAGCAGAGGTTTTGCAGGGCTTGTTTGGTGAACAAAACTGCCTGAACCACCTCCTGCTGCACCATGTCCTGCTGTGGGACCGGGCTTGGTGTGCCAGTATTTGAGAGACTTACACTGAGCAATGGTGGTGCAGAGAGGTCTTCCCCACTGAACTGCATCAGGAAGTTTGCTGCAAAGATTGGCACAAATCAAATGGTTGGTGTTAGAAGTGATAACATTTGCAGCTGTAAATGGTCTGCTCTTGTTCACGGAGGTTACGTATCTGATGCAAAACCACTGCCTTTGGTAGGAACATTTTCAGCAGTTTCAGTGTCCGCAGCTCTACTCTGGGAACAGCCTTGACAGTCCTGAGTCATTCCAGCTTTTCCAGTGGTTTCTGTCTACCAATTACAGCACATGAAGATCACAGAATTTAATTTCATTTGGATGCAGCCATTACATAAGTAAAATACAAAGTATTCTTTGTTCATTGAAATTGAGAGCGATAAGTCAGCGTATAAACTCATTGTATAAATGACTAAGAACTGAATGGTTTTTCCACTTGTAGCAGTGTGTTATGAGTAAATGTCAGGTGTTTCAACTAGCTTATTTACGTGGTCTATGATCCTGCACAATCGATACGCGTGTCTGGGGAGTTCAGTGTTTAATCTGCTCTCTAACAATTTCAAATCTAGAACTTGAGACTATAAAACAAGTATCTTCATTTAATAAAATGAGCTTTAGTTACCGAATATTTGTCAACTTGTTATAAATGCTGAGGAACATAGAGACAACTGTGTATTACCACTGTAAAACCCTAAGAAGTAGTTTGTGGAAATACCACCATTTGCAACACCATTTCCAGCACAGATGAGCCTTCTGTTTTATGCCAGTTACGTTCCTTGAGGGCTGAAGTGAAATTTCAATCATGTGTTAATTGAGCTAACATATTTAACATTTTCCCCAAAAGGTTCCTATTTCTAATTGTGACTGGAGAAACAACTACTACAGAATCTAAAGTAGTGATATGTGTTTATCCTCAGAGATTAACAGCAAAAGCAATAAAACATGTAGAGGACTGTAAGCTGGCAATACACAGTTGGGGTTGTAACAAAGGCAGGATTTCACTTAGCTTTGCTGTAGTGGAATATTGTACAGAATCTTTAGCACAGAAAGTCTGCCAGAGCAATGGAAACTGGCTGTGCTCTTCCTTTGTACAAGGGACCCACATAAAAATAGCATGGTGATGTCAGGAATTGGTAAATAGCCCAAGGGGATGACAGGCCAATGTTCCAACAGGCTTTGCCAACCAGACTGGGGTTTAAACTGCATGTGGCCATCTGGGAAAGCCTTCTCCTCCGGTGAAAGAGGCTGACCAGGGATGGCACAAGGCAGGACAGAGGCACGTGCAGCAGGATGCTCAGAGAGCAGTTGTACCAAAAGCTTCTTCACACCCTCTGCAGCCTCTTATATCTGTTTATCCCCACCCCTGACTATGCCCTCCAAAGGCGATCCCTGTTCCTGCCTCCTCTCCACCTGCTGAGCAGATGTGCTTTTTATGCAGCAGATGTTGCTGCATACTTGGTACTTGTTGGCACAGGGAGTGAGAATCATTAAAAAAAAAAATGTTTGGGGCTTGTTGCCAATGTTCATTACAAAGTTCATTTTTTATTTAAAGATGTGGCATTTTAAGGCCATGCTCTTTAAAATATTGGTGTTACAGGCACTGTGCAGTGCCCAGAGGCTGAAAAACACAACATCTAAGCAGCCTATTCACACCAAAGAATCTGAGTAATTTCCGGAAAGGCTCACTTGCAGTCCAGGACAGATGGTACAAAGGTTCCCTCCTAATCCTCTCTGTGGTATGTTAAAAATAATTCAGAAAAGCCACACAGATCCCTCAGAGCGATGACAGAAGCCTCTGCTCATTTGCAAAGAGGAGACCTTTAGTGCAGAGGCCAGTGCAGTGGGTCCTGAGCTTCCCAAAGCTTCTGACATTGCAGTAGAATAGCATCAATTTTAATAATCTTAACCAGGTTTGCAAACTGTAAGCAGGTTTCTTATCTGCGAAGGGGAAGAGCTAAGGACTGTCTTTTTTCCAAGCCAGTTCCATTTTCTCAGCTGAAAAGCAAACAGTTCTGGTAAAGAAATGCCACCTTGGGACTGGAAAAACCAGTCAGAACAAACACATTTGGGAACAGATTTCATTTGATGCAATTTTCGGTTTCTTCCATTTTGTTTCCACCCAAGGGAAAGGAAAAGTCTAGCTGTGGGCACACCCCTGCACTCAGGAGATGCTTTGCTGGTGTGTTACATGTGGAAGAAATGAATCCTTTGCAGTCCAAACCTCAGCCTGCTGAGGACAACGGGTGTGGAAACATCAGGATTTCCCTCTGGCTTGCTGTGCAATGCCAGAATTGCCCTTCCTCACCATGCAGAGGATGGAGATGGCTGCCCTGAGCCCCCTGAAGCTGGTCACACTGCCTGGGGAGGAGCCAGGAGTGGGGACCATGGGGAAGGGCCCTGGGGACAGGTACCCCCTTTCCATAGGAGGACATTCCCTGGCTCCCACCAGCACATGTACTCCTTTGGACCCCAGAGGATGCTGCAAGAGTGGAATACCCAGTGATACCTGATTTAGAGGGAAGCCAAATTAAAGACAGAAAGTGTGGTTTAGCTTAATCACAGCTATGCATCATGCCTCGTATTCCCGAAACATCCATGCTACAGCAATATTCTGTTAAGCATCACAGCTATTGGAAAATAGCAATTTAATCCCACAGGTAGCATCGATATTTCATGTTTATAGCTCTCTCCAGCTCCCTCTAGGCAGGGAACAAAATTTTGCTCTTACAAATGACGGTACCATCACTAATTACATAGTTATCAGGTTTTTTTAATAGAAGGGTTATGTGGTAATAATGAGACCCAGAAGTGATTATAAATCATACATAAGGTTCATGTGATGCAAAGAGCTGCACAGGTATCTCACTAAATATATTATGTTCTGGAGTAATAAATAACTATTAATTTTCTTGAGCCTTTTTGTTTGTTGATTTTTGTGGCATATAGGCCAGGCATTTTCAAATTTCTAAGTCTTAGTTGCTTATAGGAACTTTTTTGTAGTGGTCTAAAGAACCCTCACCATCACCTGAACTTGAAAAGAAATAGCTAGTATTTTTAGCTCATCAAGTAGTTCTTATGGTAATAAAGAGATGAATTAAGCAGAGTGAAAGGCAGAACAAATCACAGAACTACTTACGGTTGGAAAAGATCTCCAAGATCATCGAGTCCAATTATTAACCTAACACCACTAATCATGTCCCTAAGCACCACATCTACATGTTTTTTGAACACTTGCAGGAACAGTGATTCCACCACTTCCCTGGGCAGCCTCTTCCAATGCCTGACCACCCCTTCAGTGAAGAAATTTTTCCTAATATCCAGTCTAATCTATGAAGAACAGCAAAGCTGATCACCTGTACTCCATACCAGGAGATAATATCAACTTTGTAGAATTAAACAAAAGCACTACCCCAACCTGATAGAAATAACCAAGAATACAAGCTGGGTCAAGATGAAGTTACTTACCTCCAAATTCATGCCACAGCTTAACTATCACTGTTCAAATAAATTTAGCAAAGCAGATTTCATCCTGCAAAGTTTGGGATCTTCTCTCAGAAGACATCTGAGTCCCTGATCACCCATGAGATACAAAGACTTGTTGCAGGAAGAGCAGAAGAGACAGCAGTTCCAGCCTGTGCGTGACCTGCTCTGCCTGGTCTGCACGACAGAGGAAAAGCACCGTGCTTCCCAGTGACAGGCAAGAACTGACTTTGAGCCAGCATCAGTTTCTTAATTTGCACTTAGCATTTGAAGACACTCTGGGATTTAAATGATATTCCAGATTCCCCTTCCAGTTCTCTAGAGTTTGTCTCAGACGCTCCTTTAGTCTCCTTTTGAGACTGATTTTTACATGGACTTTTAGAGTTCATCCTATTTTTGAGATGGGCGGAATTATATTTTGGCCTATAAACTTGCTGAAAATTGGTTTCAAAATAGCTATACACATTGTGGGATGTCAATAACATCTAAATAGCTTTTACAGAATTGCCTCTGAGTACCCCCTTGGCTCTCCAGGTTGATATTCCTTGCTTGTTTTGTCTCACTTTTAGTGAGCTTCTGTTGTGATATGGAGTAAAATTCCTACAACAGTTCAACATTATGGATCAAACTAGTAAATTCCTGTAACATGTCCCCTGTCATCTCATTTCTTGGTTTTGTTTTCTTTTTTTTTTGCTCTCAAAGCCATTAGCCACTCTTAAATGTCAGTTAGCACACAAGTCCATATGCCCTCAACGTGGCTGCTCTTAAAAAAGGCTATGTAGATGTTAAAGAAACAGCATTAGAGTGCCTCTTGTTTTGGGAGCCAGGTGCAGCTTTGTAGAGCCCATGTGAACAGTGAAAAAGAAAACAGAGGAGCAAATTCCATCTGATTTACTTGTCCTGGAGAATCTCTGCTTGGTGGGCTGCTGTTTCTGGACTAGCACACAGAATCACAGAATGTACTGAGTTGGAAGGGACCCACAAGAATCATTGAGTCCAACTCCTGGCCCTGCACAGGACCATCCCTAAGAGTCACACCATGTGTCCAAAAATATCATCCAAACACTTCTTGAACTCTGGCAGGCTTGGTGCTGTGACCACTTCCCTGGGGAGCCTGTTCTAGTGCCCAAACACCCTCTGAGTGAAGAATCTTTTTCTAATATCCAACCTAAACCTCCCCTGACATGATTTGAGGCTATTCCCTCAGGTCCTGTCACTGGTTACCACAGAGAAGAGATCAGTGCCTGCCCCTCCTTTTCTCCTCACGAGGAAGTTGTAACTGCAATGAGGTCTCCTCTCAGTCTCTTCTTCTCCAGGCTGAACAGACCAAGTGCCCTCAGCTGCTCCTCATACGGCTTCCCCTCAAGGCCCTTCACCATCTTCACCGCCCTCCTTTGGACACTCTCCAATAGCTTAATATCTTTCTTATATATGCATTGCTGTGGAAAAGGACAGGGATTCAGTTATGTCCTGATTCATGACAACCAGAAGAGGATGCTAATGGATCTGAATGGCCAAGGATGGGGTAACACGGCCACCTTCTTTGCATCTTCAGCACAGAACTTTAATGATCATAAACCAAAAGGCATATTTTTCCACAATGCTCTGAAACCTGTCTGACCACTGTCTTAGGGATACCCTGTCCTTCCACTCCAAGGCTTAAATTCTGTGACATCAAAATAACTTTAGTCTGACAGAACCTCACTTTCTGATATGCATATGTAGGGGTTTTTTTAAGGGCAATCTATTACGCTTAAGATGTGTCATTTTTTGAAACTTCAGAGCTGCTTTCAAATACTGCAAATAATCTATTTACTGTAGCAATGTGATCAGACACGCTTCATGCTTTGGTCTGCAGTAGAGCCTGGTACAGATTTCATATACTGTCATCATACCCGTGCTGATCATGTGCCCACAAGGAACAGGTACATGTTTTTTCCTTACTACACTGCCATACAGTTCCTGCAGCAGATTTTCCTTCAGGTAATGGGCTAGCAAGGGAAGATATCATACACAGCCATCTAGGAGAAGGTAAAATCCCAGTTTCCATATCCCTGTTGTCCAATGACGCATAATACAGATAAAATGTGGGTAGGCCTTATTGTTAAAAAATGTTATGCTGTTCTCTGAGCATCTGACCATGACCAGAGTGCATGAGCTGTGCGGCTGGAGCAGTGGCTCTGGACAGAGGACACTGGATGACCCAAAGAATCTGCAACTGATGGTTGCTCTTGTGTCCACTGTGACCCTAGTTCATTTTCTAGCCTCTTCCTAGTTCCTTTTCTGCAGAAAGATACTGTCCTGACACACAAAGACTTTTTTCTCCCTATTCCTGTCATCTTTGGTTTTTTTTGCAATACTGCTGAGAGATCATTCAAATTGTATTCTCATGTCCCAGAGGTTTTGTCCATGATTCTTTTGCGGGCTTTTCTTTTTCTTTTTTTTTTTTTTGGCCTAAGATCCAGGAGATAAAAAACAGAACAAGTCATTGCTACATAAACTCCAGTCTCCATAGCAACAATGATAAATGTTTCCCTTACTCAGTTTTACAATTCCAATCCTATAGTCTCACCCGAGGCTTGCGTGAACGGCAAGAGGTTAAAACATCTCATAACTTACTTGCTCATTGCAGTTTTAAAAGCAGGCTACTGGAGTAAGTAGCATGGGCCAAATGAGACCCAAAAAACTTTCCTGAGCTTTGGGAGGTGAGACACAGGCTTGGGAACAGCAGGTAGGAAATAGCACATTTACCTCTGTAGGACTTAACACTATACAGTGCCAGTCTTCCTTAGACTGACCATCCCACCACTGTGGGATCAGGAAGGCAACACTGTACTAAGTCCCCTGAAAATATGGGGCTGTGTTGCTGTATTTGTGCCAAAATCAAAGCAATTGTCCCACGTTACTGCCATGAACCTGCCACAGGTATGCAGAGTGCACACTGCACACAGGCAGTGCTGCACTCCTGAGCACAGGGGAGCTCAGATCCATCAATGACCGCTGCCTCCTGAGGTAGACAAATCGAATTTCCCAGGACAGACTGAGAAATCTTGAGCCTGAGGAAAGCTGGACCCCACAGTTCGAGCCAGTGTCTGGCACCAAGACCTCTGCTGTGGCTTTGGTGCTCTGTGTGATGGATCAGCACTTGGCAGAGGCCTTTTCAGATGAAAGTACCTGAAAGTACCAAGAGATGCTTGGAAGACCTCTCTGGTTTTCTGTAAAGTCAGATCTTCCTAGATCTTTTTTTCCCTGCCTGCCAGTCTCTTGGGCAGGGGTTGCCAGTGAGCAGCAGGCAGGGGCTGCAGATGTTCAGTTGTGTGTGCCATGTTCCTGCCCGCGATGCAGCAACATGTGTCAGTCACACAGCATTACACCCATTTGTAGTGAAGGTGTTGATTCCCTCTCTCTCACTATCTGGGAAAAGTCCCCCCATACAAATTCTGCAGCTAACAGCATAACTGGTGCTCTGCTGGTCAGTCTCTCTGGTGGCCAGTGACAGGACCCGAGGGAATGGCTGGAACTGTGTCGTTTGGAGGAGGTTTAGGTTGGATATTAGGGAGTGTTTCTTCACCCAGAGGGTGTCTGGGCACTGAACAGGCTCCCCAGGGAAGTGGTCACAGCACCAAGCCTGCCAGAGTTCAAGAAGTGTTTGGATGATATTTTTGGACACATGGTGTGACTCTTAGGGATGGTCCTGTGCAGGGCCAGGAGTTGGACTCAATGATTCTTGTGGGTCCCTTCCAACTAAGGATTTCTATGTTTCTATGACGAGAAGGACAAGAAAAGCAAGCTGAAATACAGATGAATCTGAACAAACCTTATTGTACCTCAGTGCACATAAAAATGCATTTAATTTCTTTTCCAAGATGATCTTCCAATTAACAACATCAATTTGGAATAGCTGAACTGGACAAGAATGTGGTAATTTAACTCAGAGGAAAAGCCAAAGCAGAAGAGTTGCGTTTCATCATTTGTAATGAAAAGCCCCAAATGAGTTTTCCTTTTTACTGTACATCCTGGGAGCAATGTATAATACCATTTTGAGCTCAAGTTTTCCAGTAGAAAGATTTTGGTAAGATTTGGACAAAGACGCTAAGAAACTGTCATTTTAAGATACTTAGGACAGGTCCATTTTCCCACCACCCAGTGGTATGTGCTCACATTCTAAAATTAAATAGAATGAAGTTCTCAAATCAGTTCTAACTGGGTGTTTGATTGACAGGAAATGTTCTTCAGCTTTGCAAAGTTCTTTTAACTTATTGGATCATAATCAAAGGTGACTTCACCAATAACAGCATGACATTGTTAATATGTGCTCGAGTAGCAGAGGGAACATCTTAAGAGGGAATCCCTCTGTGAGTAGGAAACAGGGACTTTGATCAGCTGAATTGGCCTGCAGCTGCTTACTGCCTCTCTACAGCACACAGAAAGGGAAAATTAAAACCCTTTTAGCATCCCTTTTCAGGCCCAGCCAAGCTACATGCCTAGGACTGGATGCAGGCAGACAGCATGTCTGGGGTTCCCAGGAATGGGGCTTGTCGCTAGACTCAGTCTCTGCCATAGATAATAAAGGTTTTTGCTACTCTTTCCATGACATTTTGCCCAGGTTGCATGGCATGAAAATTGAGAGCTGTCATGGAGCCTTGGCATGCTGGTGAATACCTTGTCTGAACAAGCTTTTTAATGTATTTTCTTCCCCTTGCCAATAGATGGGACAAGCAGCTCTTCCTAGGCTTTGGACCACAGGCCTTCCAATGCCTTTGATGTACATCATGCTTCTGTGGTGTTGGGAGCTGCTGTATGAAACAATTTATAGTACTTGGCATCTTTCTATGAAATATTTATAGAGGTACTAAATTCCAGTGAATTGTACTGCTGGCTCATGCAATTCAGATGATAAAAATGCCCTTTCTAATCCATGGAAAATAAACCCATCAGCACTGTAGAAATAAGATTTGCTACTGGCATCGTCATCCACTAACTGGAACCAAGGACAAGGGCAAACGTCATTCCTCCATTAAACCCCACATACAGGGGAGAAGGTGGCAAAGTTCACCTGCACCCACAGAGCCAGGCCTCTGCTGCTTATGTTAGTGAAGGAGAGGTGTCAGCACCTTGGTCTGAGAACCGACCTGGGCTTCCAGTGAAAGCAGGACAGGTCATGGCCGAGGAGCAGCATCGCTCATTGCTCACCCTCACACAGCTCGTGTAGAAAAAAACCAGAGCTGCAGACAAATTCACAGTCTCAGGCTCCTCCGCTGGAAGACAGAAATTGCAATGATCTGTAATGTCTGTCTAGAGGCAAGAACAATATTTCACTTGGTTAAAGGGAACCTTCCCAATCCCAGAGCACATGCATAAATGCTGGTGCAGGAAAAAAATGCCATGAATGAATTTTCATCAAAAGCAGAAATGAGTTATGAAATTGTGTTTAATATAGTGGTGATTTTCTCTTTTCACTGCAGGACAGACTCCAAGGGATGCAAGACAAAAAAGCTTGAAATTAAAGTCTTCCTTTTCCATGAAGATTCTATTTTAGTTCTTCCTCTCTGCCTTATTTTCCTTTATTGAAAGTAAGTTGTCTCTCCAAAGCCTCTGGCCCTCCCCTGGCAGCCCCATTCCACAAGAAAAGGAGGTGGTGGTGGGTCAGTCTCCTTCTTGCTGCTCAGCCCTGCCACGCCCTGCTCCCAGGCCACAATTCTGGGGCAGATCAGACTTTGGGGGAGATACCAGCTGCAGAGCCAGCCATCCCCATGTCGTTCTGTGAGGTGGGGAGTGCACTGCCTCCCTTCTGATGTGACATCCTGGGGGACCTTGTGGGGATGCTGTGGTTGGTGATCCTCCAGTGAAAACTACCCCTGGGAGCAGAGTATGTTAGTGCTTCTTCCTCAGTACTTGATCAGAAGCAGAACAAGATCTTTGGAGATTTGCTGGGTGTAAAGAGTTTTTTAAATATTTGTATGCAAACTGAAGATAAATCTAGTACTTGTACAATCACTCAAACCCCAGGTTTAGTCAGTCTCTGATATAATTATACAGATTAGAAAACAACCATCAACTGGAGGGCGTGGGTGAGCCCAGGTCTGTCCCTAGAGATCTCTCAGTGGGGATTTTAGGCAAGGGGTTGGCAGACGAGATTGAGTTTGGGGCCTTTGGTGGGAAGCTCTGTGTACTAGTAAGGCAGCACATGGTGTGGGATGGAGGTGGTTTCCTGTTGTTAATGTTAACCAGGCTGCTCTTCTGCTGCAGGCCATGCACCACATGACCTGTGGGTATCACTGAGGGGCTACAGGTCCTGAATCCTCCCAGGAGGGCTCCCTGAGTCCTTCCTTGCTTAAGTGCTGCAAGGGCCCCTGCCAGTCTAGGGAGGTGACAGAGCAAGGGCAGGCAGTGGGAAGGGTTCAAAGCCACTCCTAAACACCATTAATGGGGAGAAAGTAGTAGCAAAATGTGAGACAGAAATGTCACATTTTTGAGCAGACAGACAGACAGACAGACTAGGATACTAATCAGAAACAGGATTTTTATCTCAACCTGCGGGGTCTCCCCGGCATTGTGACTTGTGCATCATGACGCTGGCTGATCCTTCAAGTCCCCTGGACTGAATCTTTGGTCTCACAGTGGCCCTGCCCGTGGCCATGGGCCATGTCATGCCAATGGCCTCTAGGCAGGAAAAACCAAACTGGAGTAAGAGAGACAAGAGTGGCAAGCATTGGTTTAATTTGGTTTATATTTTCTGCTTTTTTCACAGAGTTTTTTATCTCAGGGCAAAACTGGAGAAAGGGAGTAGATAAGGAGAAGCTGAATGATGAGGGCTTGGATCAATGGTGATGAAAAAACAAGGAGCGGAAAAACAAAACACATGCTTTGTCAGAGGTCTTCCCTTCCATGCCCGCTTTGAGGGCAGCAGGCTGCTAGATCCACCAGAGACCATGATACTCCAGGCAGCTGGTTATCAGAGCGTAAAGCTGTCTTCTTTTTCCAGGAAAGCCACCTCCTGTGTTGCAGTTGTCCTGCTTCAGGGTACAAGTTCGGCCTTGGTGAAACCAAACACTTTCAATGGCTGAACTGGTTTTCTGCATCTCAAACTGAGATACTGGAAAATATCACCATTTCCTCCTCTCCATGCTCATCTGAGTTTTCTCAGCTGTTAGCAGGACAAAGTCCTAAGTGACATTTCCGGTAAGAAGGCTGTTTAGAAACAGATGTGCAATAATTTTAGGATCATCCTTATTTTAAGGATGTATAGCCTTACATGAATTCGCCTTCAAATCCTTTGGATGGCTAATTCCTCATTGCATGTGGTGATTCATCATTAAAATAATAATCATCTTACTGGCTGCTTATAGTTTAATCTTTCAGCAAATAAAGAAGTGATTGAAACTTCCTCTTATCAAACCAGAACAAGTTTGTTCAGAAGAAAAAAATAATTCTGTTATTTTTGTACAAATTGGCATAATGAGCTGTCTCTGCGCTATTATCTCTGAGCATTAACAGGCTCTATTATGCAGGATAATACTCAGAATAATTATTACTTATCTGCATGTACATACATTGAATAATAAAATAATTAGACCTTTTAAAACAGAGGATAGAAAAGATTCCATTGACTGTAATTCTGACTTTCTGATTATAAGGTTGGAATAAAAATTGTGATACTTTATTGGTGTGTCAAGCCACTAAATGCCGGGTTTGTGGATATCAGTGCAGGCTGTGCCTAAGGTACGTATTTTGTCAGTCTAGACTGAGCAGAGATTTACATAAGGATGTGAAGGATCTGGGCTGTTGAAATTCAGAGGTGGATATGAAGCCTGCTGAGCACAGCCTGCTGTTTCTAAGAACAGTGCTCCTGCTCTGTGCAACTGCTGTGGTGCAGGGGCCTGCAGTGCTTGTCCCATGGGAGCCTGCACATCTGGAGAGCAGGAGGTGCTGGGGTCCTGCAGCTCTGGAGGCCCATCTCTTCTCTGGGTGAAGGCTGGTCCTTTCCCTCCCAGCTGATCAAATTCTTCATGCAGTGGAGCAAGCACAGTCTACGTGGCATCGGGCTGATGTCTCAGGCAGAGCTGACCCAGCCATTGCCTGTCAGAAAAGTTGTCTGGGCTCTTGGTCAGCGTGAGCACGCTGGAATCTCCTGAAATAATGTGTTTCTGTGGAAGAGAGTTCCCTAGGGAGCCTTCATGTGCTTAGAATTTGGCCTCTGCCAGAGTCTCCCATCTGTTTGATGGGGCAGCTTCCACTCCACATGAATGCTGGGAAGAGGAAAGTGCTAATAATGTCAAAAATGGTGATATCTCACTGTACAAAAGGTAAAATGCTCCAGGCCTGGTATTTTTTTGGCCATGTCTGAAAAACACACGGTGTCTCCTTCAGACATGGAATCACAGAATCATAGAATAGTTTAGGTTGGAAAAGACCTTTAAGATCATTGTGTCCAACTGTTAACTCAGCACTGCCAACTAGCACACCACTAAACCATCTCTCTAAGTGCTACATCTGCGCATCTTTTAAATACCTCCAGGAATGGTGACTCTACCAGTTCCCTGGGCAGCCTGTTTCAGTGGTTAACAACCCTTTCTGTGAATAAATTTTTCGTAATATCTGATTTAAACCTCCTCTGGTGCAATCTAAGCCAATTTTGTCTCATCCTGTCAGTTGTTACTTGGGAGAAGAGACTGACCTCCACCTCACTACAACCTCCTTTCAAGTAATTGTAGAGAGTGGCAAAGTGTCCCCAAGGACATCCCTGCTCTGCACAGGAGAGGGGTGGGGAGGCTGGAGTAATTCCCATGGCTGTCAACTCAGACGCAGGACCTGTGGTGTAAGGCAGACCCCTCCGGCCTCAAAAGGCTCTTCAGAGCCAGGAATCAATCACATATATGGGTTAGGGATTGTCTTTTAATGTAATCTCAAAAGCAGATAGACCCCAGGGATCATGAAAACCTCCTTATTGTACTGG